GGGGGAGGGGGGTGGGGGGATGTGTGTGTGTGTGAAGGGGGGAGGACATACAGGGGGGGGGATGTGTGTGTGTGTGTGTGTGTGAAGGGGACAGAGTACACGGCTACGGGGGGGATACAGGGGGGGATGGGGGGGGGGGGGCTATGGGGGGGGGGGGGAGAAGAACACTGCAGTGGGTGGAGGGGGGGGTGTGTGAAGGGGACAGAAGACACTATAGTGGAGGGAGGTGCATGTAACACTAATATAGGGGGAGGGAGAAAGACTCTACTGTGGGGGGGGGACAGAAGAGGACACTATAGTAAAGGGAGGGGCACGGGACACTGCTACAGGGAGAGGAGACCCTACTGTGGGGGAGGGGGCAGAGGACACTACTATGGGGGGATGATGTGAAGGAGAGGGGGGGACACTACTGTGGGTGGGGTTGGGGGGCACAAGACACGCTGTATATTTTTATTGGGGACTTGATAGTTTTTGGCATACAAGTACTCGTGCACATGCTTAGTATTGGCACTGATACCGGTATTGGCCCAGCGCTAGTGTATGCCATCCGGTCCAGGTGCTTTATTCACCTTTATTCTGTCTGAATATTTCTGGACCATATCAGCTGTGAGCCATTGTGGATCATTTGGGACTGTGTCACTATCATGGACATGAGCTCCCCATGCTCCTTTGTGTACACAGAGATATTTAATAAATGCGCCTTCTCCTTTTCCCCGTCACCCCTCTACATTATTTTGTAAAGGGCCTACATGCTGGGGACCGGACCTTTTTTTTATTATTAATATATCTGAACATTTTTTTTTTGGGTTGGGGGGGGGGGGGGGTCCTTTTTCCTATTCTTTTTTGCAATCTGTTGTACGTTTTTGAATTTTTGCAAATTACAACTGTAGACCTATGGATACTTCTTGTTCCCTTTATGTTTCCCACTATTACAGACTGCAGAAAATTTACTGTTTTCATGCGATTTCTGGCAACCAGGAGCACTGGTGGATGTTTTATGTCATGGGCAGACTGCAGAAAGTCTATTGTTTTCACATGATGTCTGGCTGCAGGAAGCACTGCAGTGTGTTATTATAGGACAATCTATTGTTTTCTGTTGATGTCGGATTTGAAAAGCACGTTCAAAACGCCGATCATCAGATTCATGGTTACTTCTACGGGGTGTACTGCGGATGACCGTTTTAAGGTTGTGCTTACTTAGACCTAACAACTCCTATTAAGATGCATTTGCATTGCAAACAAAGTAGGTCAAAAGCAGCCTTTTGCCACATTTCCTGTTAGAACCCACGTGCTTGAATGCAAAAGGCAGATTTTGCCAACAATACAAGCCCTACAATGACTACGGGGCCCCTTTAGCAATAATAAGAAACACAGATGACTACAGACAGGAGTTTGTCACACAACCTTTTAAATATGTCATAACAAAAGGATGTTTACTGAACAGAAAATATGCTACAATGTGGTGCCAGATCTTGTATTATGTAGACAAAACACAGTCCATGTCCCTTAGGGTCATCGGAGCCCAACAAGCAGTCAATGGCTCACAAAAAAACACAAGGCTACCTTTCTTCACCATACTTTATGTGGCATTTTACACCAACTCTTTTTCATTTCTTTTAACCTCTCGCCTACCGAGCTCTTTCACCCCCTTCCTGCCCAGGCCAATTTTCAGCGCTGTCACACTTTGAATCACAATTGCGCAGTCATGCAACACTGTACACAAATGAAATTTTTATCTTTTTTTTTTTTTTTTTTTTTTTTACAGAAGTAGAGCTTTCATTTAGTGGTATTTAATCGCCACTGGGTTTTTTATTTCTTGCTAAACAAATGACCAAAAATGTTGAAAAAAATAAATAAGTTTTTCTTAGTGGCTGTTAAAAAGTTTTGTAAATAAGTGATTTTTCTCCTTCACTGATGTGTGCTGATGAGGCTGCACTGATGAGGAGGATGGTACTGATGGGGCACTGATAGGGGCACTGCTGGGTGGCACAGGCATCACTGAGGGGTGGCACTGACAGGCATCACTGAGGGGTGGCACTGACAGGCATCACTGGGGGGGTGGCACTGACAGGCATCACTGGGGGGGGTGGCACTGACAGGCATCACTGAGGGGTGGCACTGACAGGCATCACTGATGGGTGGCTGGGGACAGGCATCTGAGGGGTGGCACTGGGCATCACTGATGGGGTGGCACTGATCACTGATGGGGGCACTGACAGGCATCAATTAAGACTGTATTTATAGAAAGCAGTGCAGGTTTGGTAAAAATGAAGCAATTATGTTGCATGGCTGCTTAGGCTATAAACAGTGCTTAGTGTGGTTTATTTTTAATGAAAATATATGATTACCAGAAATCTCTCCTCTTTCTCCAGCCAGCGCTGGTCCTCCTCCATCTCCTGCTGCTGTCGTATTAATCTCTCCTCCATTAGATGGGTCGGAAGAACTTGGCCTAAACATCTCATGTCCAAGGGACCGGAATCCTGCAGACAGAGAAAACATATTAGCCTCCATAAAATGTTCATGTAAATAGTATTTCAACGTGTGGGGGGGGGGGGGGGTGGGTGGGTGTGTGTGTGTGTGTGTGTGTGTGTGTGTGTGAGCAGGGGCGAACTGACAACTCATGGGACCCTGGGCAATAGGGGATCATGGGGCCCCTGTGTCCTTGCCCAAATGCAAAAAAGTCTATGAAAAAGGTACCAGGGGCATCTCGTGGGGGGTGGGGGGGGGGGGGGAGTTTGTCCGCCCCTGTGTGTGAGTATATGTGTGTGTGTGGGTGTGTGTGTATGTGGGGTGGGAGGGGGGGGGGGTGTGTGTGGGGGTGGGTGGGTGCGGGTTGGTAAGGTGGGTGGGTGTGTGTGTGTGCAGGTGGGTGGGTGGGGATGTGCGTGTGGGTGGCCGTGCATGGTGCGGGGGGGGTGTGCGTGCATGTGGGTTGGTGGTTGGATGGTGCGTGCGTGCGTGCGTGTGGGGTGGGTGTGGCATGTGGTGTCTGGGTGGGGGTGGGGTGGGGGTGGGTGGGTGGGGGTGCGGGGCGTGGTGGTGTGCGTGTGCGTGTAGTTATAAAAGCACATCAGTTAGGAAAGAAATACAAAGGCTGTAATTGATAAGCTCCTTCTGTAAAGGATTTGCATTCTAAGTGCAATTATCCTTTAATTTCGATCATAGAAAAAAAAATCTCAAATTGAGAACCACCTACTGTATATCTACATACCTGGCATTCCTGCACCAGGGTGTAGATCTCCACTCGCCCTATTTAACCGTTCATTGCACAACTATACATAAGGAAGCACAAGCATCTGTGGAAGCTTCAAACTTATTACTGCAACTTTGGGAACCTGTACTGAAGTCTGCACCATTCCATGGACTAAATCTTTAGTGTGAATGTTACTAAAAAACACAGATGTAGCAATGAAGCAGAACACACAAATTCCAGCTTGATCGTAATCACCTGACATATCAGTGCCCCCCCCCCCCCCCTTCCTTCCACTCATGTATTATTTACAGCTTTCTGGCAGGATTTACTCCCAATCCTTGTAGGCGTTACAAAGATCCCGGCATATGCAGGCATGCTCAGGACACCTGAATCTGCATGTGTATGTCAACACAGGAAGGAAGTTGGCGTGAGGCCAGACCAGAGGCTCTACTGCTGCTTCGGGGTAAGATAACAAATGTGGCTCATCCTTATGTCCCCGAATGTGATTGGACAGAGGTGTCTGGGCGCCATTTACGATAAATATTAGACAAATTTCACCTAATATCTGTGGGTAGGTTTTGCTGTGCGTCTAAGCGACTTCACTTACCTCCATATTGGCTTGCCACATTTCCTGGGTCCGATGGTTCCAGGAGTCCAGGTGGTCAAGTACAGCAGCTTGGCCGGGGTATATATTCCCAGACATAGAGGGGATTCCGTGGGAGACTGAGTAACCAGTCACCTAGAGTGAAACAGAATATTCATCATGATTATCTACCACCAGGAGCATTATGCAGAATACAGCTAAGAAACTTGCTACCTGGCAGTTGCTGGGGAACTACAATTCCCAGCATGCTCTGCAAGACACTGAATAAGAGAACATTCCAGCTTTGGACAAAGGGAAGCGCTATGTTTAATTAAAGTGAAACTATTAAAAAAGAACTATTTTTTTTAATAGAATGGGGACCGATCAGAACCTCAGTCTCTGTTTTTATTGTTGTCTGTGTCCACTAAGGTGAACTCCTCTCCATTCCTGTGTGGCTGCCAGGAAAGGAAACCAAAGGAAGGCATCGATGAGAGAACAAATCGCACTAAGAACCTGATGGGGATCTAAGGTTTCCACACCTATCCAAAAAAAAACCAAACAAAAAATTGGAGTTCTGCTTTAAAGAGCATTATGGAATACAGTAAATTGTCTTAAGCAAGCCAAGAAAAATGAGGAATCACAATCACCCATAACAGCCAATCAGAATTTACTTTCCCACGAACATGGTTTGTGATCTTTGGTTTTGAACCGATTGCCAATGAGGACCATATAGTAAGCATGTGTATACTGATTTTTATGTATTCATCTATACATTTAGCTGCATGTGAAATGTGTTGTCAGCTATTCCCATCTCACTGCGATCATTATCCGTTATTGAACGCACTGTTCAGGAGTATGTATACTATTCTGCTGATCAGTGGATGGCCATGTGTAGATGTATGGAGTGTTCAGATCTTTATCTATGATTAATTTCCTGTCTTACATGTATATGAATCATTGATGACTTTTTATGTGTTTTATGACGTTTGTTACAAAATAGGATTTCAATTTTCCATAAATATTCTTCATCCATTGATTAAACACCCTTAAGGTGTTACTAAACCCAGCTCCCTGCATTCACTATATCTGCCCTCCGTGGACCCTGCATTCACTATATCTGCCCTCCGTGGACCCTGCATTCACTATATCTGCCCTCCGTGGAACCTGCATTCACTATATCTGCCCTCCCCCCGGACTCTGCATTCACTATATCCGCTCTCCCCGGACCCTGCATTCACTATATCCGCTTTCCCCGGACCCTGCATTCACTATATCCGCTCTCCCCGGACCCTGCATTCACTATATCCGCTCTCCCCGGACCCTGCATTCACTATATCCGCTCTCCCCGGACCATGCATTCACTATATCCGCTCTCCCCGGACCCTGCATTCACTATATCCGCTCTCCCTGGACCCTGCATTCACCATATCCGCTCACCACGGACCCTGCATTCACTATATCCGCTCTCCCGGACCCTGCATTCACTATATCCGCTCTCCCCGGACCCTGCATTCACTATATCCGCTCTCCCTGGACCCTGCATTCACTATATCCGCTCACCACGGACCCTGCATTCACTATATCCGCTCTTCCTGGACCCTGCATTCACTATATCCGGTCCCCCGGACCCTGCATTCACTATATCCGGTCCCCCCGGACCCTGCATTCACTATATCCGCTCTCCCCGGACCCTGCATTCACTATATCCGCTCTCCCGGAACCTGCATTCACTATATCCGCTGTTCCTGGACCCTGCATTCACCATATCCGCTCTCCCCGGACCCTGCATTCACTATATCCGCTCTCCCGGAACCTGCATTCACTATATCTGCTCTCCCCGGACCCTGCAGTCACTGTATCTGGTCTCCCCAGACCCTGCATTCACTATATCCGGTCTCCCCAGACCCTGCATTCACTATATCTGGTCTCCCCAGACCCTGCATTCACTATATCCGGTCTCCCCAGACCCTGCATTCACTATATCTGGTCTCCCCAGACCCTGCATTCACTATATCTGGTCTCCCACAGTTCACACAACATGGAAATGCAATTATTTTAGTAAATATAAACTGCTAAATACCTTTTCTCATCAGCAGTTAGAGCAGTCTTATAACTTCTATCAGTGTCCAGCAGAGCACTGGTTAAAGCTTGCAGGAGGAGTTTTCATTCTCCTTCAACTGTCCTATGAGGCTGCATGACCCCTGACCCTCTGTTTGGACAGAGCAGATTGCCTCTGTGCTGATTACACGCACCCTCCCAAAGAAAAAACGCTCTCTAGCAATAAACACCAAACTGAGCACGTGCAGAGTGACTCCTGGAGCTCTGTTCCATCAGCAAATGCATTGGGGATAGTAGAAGAAGGGGAGGATCAGAGAAAACAGGATCAAACAGCCTTCTTATACAATGCAGAGGATTAACCCCTTAGGTTCCACAGTGAGTATAACAAGCATGCTTTACTGCATCTACAGACTGATTGTACTGTTGTGGGTTTAGTAACACTTTAAAGTATTGTTATTGAAATGGTGTTCCTTTTGATTTCATTCAGGATTTGAGATGTGGTGTCCTAGGCTCTATGTACACTAGTGGTTTTTTTGTTTTGTTTTTTAAACTCAAAAAACATTGGAAAAAACACTGGTAGTAGCATTTTTAGTAGTGTTCAGAAGTGTTTAGGAGCGTTAGTGTTTTTATTAGCATTTTTACAGTACATGTAGAGGAAAAAAATAATTATAAAAACCTGTTAGGAGTGTTTTAGTAGCATTTAGGAGTGTTTAGTGGGTTTTTTTTCTGTGGAAAAACGCTACAAAAAAAACTCTACAATAACTATTTTTTCTCCTCCTAGACGCTGAAACTCAGAAAACGCTAATAACCTAAAGTAGTGTGCATGAACACATAGGATAACACTGTTTACCTTCTAGGAGCGAAAAAAAAAACCTGCTGATAACAGCTTATAGGAGCTTAGAAAAAACTGCTAGTGTGCATGGAGCCTAAACTGGTCCAAATATAATTAACCTGCATGGAGCCTAAACTGGTCCAAATATAATTAACCTGTTATCTTCCAGTCACATGATAACAATAAACTGAAGCCTGACTAGTTTCCTTTTCAGTTCCTAGTTCAACTTTGTGTGTGCGCATGCGTGCGTGTGTGTGTGTGGGGGGCTGGGGTCTGTTGCCATGGTAACCTGACACGAAGTCTCGGGTTACCACGGCAACAGCAACGCGCCCAGCTCTGTACTTGAGAGCAGGGCACCCCCCCTGTTGCCCCTGTTGTTCTCCCATCTGCCCTGTATGAGAGAAGACTGTGCTGCGGCCAGCTTCTCCAGGACTACCATCCCCCGGCTCCCTTCTCCTCTCACTGGCTGACCTGACTGTCTGTCTGCTGCCGGATCCCTCTATTGTGTGGGGTTAACTCTCTGCTGCCTGGATCTCTTCCCTGCCTGGACTTAACCTCTTGTTCCCTGTGAGCCTGCGGGCTGGACACCTTCCCTGCCTGGACTTAACCTCTTGTTCCCTGTGAGCCTGCGGGCTGGACACCTTCCCTGCCTGGACTTAACCTCTTGTTTCATGTGAGCCTGCGGGTTGGACACCTTCCCTGTCCGGAATTAACTCTTTGTTGCCCATGAGCCGTATGGACTTAACCCTTCCCTGCCTGGAGCTGCCTGTGCGGATTAACCCTGTGTTGCCTGTGCGGACTGCAACCCTCCGTGCTCAGCTCCCTCCATCCAGTAAGTGGACTAACCTTGTGCTGCCCAAAAGACTGAGCCCAATTCTCCCCAGGAACCCGAAGTCCCACGAAACCACCACGCCCGTCTTACTGAACCCTGTGGACTACCAGCCCCCTGTTGTTCCATATTGCCTTCCAGAGAACTTTACTGTGTTGCTGTGTCTGGTGTGAATCTGTGGACTAACAGAACTGTTGTCTGTGCCCCAAAAACCTCCCCAATAAACGCCCGCACGTCGAGTTCCGTGCAATCTGTCTCCTTGTGCTCTCTGGTTCTCATGACAATAATCATAAAGTTAATTTATTTCAGTAATTCAGTTCAAAAAGCGAAACTCATATTATATAGATTCATTACACAGAGCGATATCTTTCAATCTTTTCTTTCTTTTAATATCGATGATTATTGCTTACAGCGAGTGAAAACCCAAAATTCAGTAAATCAGAAAATTTGATTACATAAGAGCCCCCCACCCCAAAGCACCCCCCCATGTTGAGAGAATGTGGCCTGGTATGGTTCGGGGGGGGGGAGGCGCTCCCTTGTCCCCCCCCCACCTTCCTGACCTGCTGGGCTGCATGCTCAGATAGGGGTCTGGTATGGATTTTGAGGGGGACCCCACGCCACTTTTTTTTTTTAAATTTAGGTGTGGGGATTCCCCTCAAAATCCAAACCAGTTTCAAAGGGCTTGGTATGGATGGAGGGGGGGACCCCACGCCATTTTTTAAATATTTCTTTTTTTACATTCAGCTGTCAGTGGGGAACCCCGCTGACAGCTGATGACTAAAAATGGATGAAAAAAAGGGATGTAAATGGCTGAAAAAAAGGGATGTAAATGGCTGAAAAAACAGATGAAAACTAGCCTGTTTTTTCTTTTAAAAAATGTGACTGAACTGATGAAAAAAACGGAATGCCCGTGTGAAAGGACCCAAACTGAAATAAATTAACTTTCTGATGATATTCTGATTTATTGAGACGCACCTGTATGAGTCAAGCTGACCAAGCTCTGACATACATGAGACTAATAGGGGCATACTCTATCTGCACATAAAAAATAATTCTCACACTAAGAAGAAACATTAAGCAATCTGGGAATTGTATGAAAATGTAGTTTCAGGTAAATGGTAGCATAGTTATTCATGCAGTAGGTGTACAAGCATTACACTGAAGTTGTATAGTAAGAATGTGTAGTGAGACATCCAGAGGGCAGTCACCCAGGGTCACATTGTATATATTACAAAGCTGCACATTCCAGTACTGTGTATGGTATGAAGTTATCCGGATGCACTCTGTCTGCACAGTACCAGTCTGCAGTGTGCACTCGTGTTCAGCAGACACCTCTCCCACCACCACCACTACACTCCTTGCTCAGGTTACATACAGGTCCAGGCCTGCCGTACTCCAGACTGAGCTGATCAAACACATTCTATGTGGTCTGAGAACTCGTCCCCTCCACAGTCTCGCAATTCTTTTACGTAGTCCAGGCAGGTTTGGGTCATCAATGACACACAAAAAAAAAAAAAATTCCCCTCCATCTCAGTAGATTAGAACAAATAATTACAGATTCCGGTTTTTATTTGGACATGTCATTTTTACTTTAATATCTTTTATGTCTAACATGTTAATGATTCTAGCATTAGGCAGGCGTGTTAGGCAAACCTGACCTGTAAAGTGCCTAGCTTAACCACCCCCCCCTGCACTGCTCCTGTATGGCCGTTTTTTATATACATGGGCCGGACGGGAGCAGTGCAGGGGCGGGTGGCCGTTTTATAAATGTCCTCCCCGCTTCCCTGCTTGTGTGCGCTCCCTGGGAGCGCGCAGCACCACGATCCGGTGCCCGCTGTGTCCGATCATTGAACGGGACCTCTGTGTGAGGTCCCGATCAAGTGATCACTGATTGGACAATCAGTGACCACATGAAGAGTAACAAGCAAGATGTCACTTCTGACATCATTGCTTACTACGTGTGAAATCTGTGAATGATCACAGAGATCACATGGTACAGGGCTATTCACGACAGCCTTGTACCATGTGACAAGCTGTGACCAATCACAGCTCTCACAGTATTTCTCAATGGCTGCAAGAATGCAGCCAGAGAGAAGGAGAAATGATTGCCTTTACAGCCTATATGGGTGTAAAAGCAATCAGTGTAAAAAAAAAAACAAAACATTTTCATCATCCCACCACAAGTAGTACAGTGTCGCTATGGTGGCACTGTACTGCTAGGGTGACAGTATGTTAAAAAACATAAAAACAAAACAAATAATATAAAAAAATAAAATAAAAATGTAAAAAAAAATTTAGAAAATTTATAATTTTTGGATATAAACTATTTTTTTTTTTTTTTTTTTTACTAAAAAGATAACTGAATACATTTTGGCCAAGATTTATGAAGAAAGATTATTTATTTGCAAAATGTTATAAGAAAAACACTTTTTTTTTTTTTCAAAATGTTTGGACTATTTCATTTATATAGCAAAATACAGATACCACCAAAATAAAGCTTTATCTGTCTCAAAAAAAAAAACGCGAAAAAATTCATATGGGTACAGTGTTGCATGACTGCACAATTGTCATTCAAAGTGTGACAGCGCTGAAAGCTGGCCTGGACAGGAAGGGGGTAAAAGTGTCCGGACTTGGAAGTGATTCAAATTAATACAAACAAGACCGCTGATTGCTCGCTTCTTGGTCTTCAGTGAGCATGTCTTTTTTTTCTGCGCCGGAACAAGTCAGTACTGAGCATAGGCACTGCCCAGCACTGGTCTTGTCCTTCATCAGTCTTGTGTAGCATGCTGTCTGTGATCACCCTTGCCACCCCAAGTTTTGGATGATTTCCAGATATTGGGGGTTGCAAGGAGTCCCTCAACTCTCCAAGCTTAAAGGATAACAAAGCTTAAAGTTCACACTAGCTTTGTTAGCAGGCGTTAGGGAAAATTCTACACATGGCAGCACACAGTGCCGTTCACACTGAAGCGTTAGCGTCGCAGCACAATTGACGCTTCAGGTCCAGTCAGGAGGAGTTGAAGCCTCCCATTCAAGTCTATGGTGACGCTCCTCAAACGCCTGGCAGGTTTGCGAGGCGTTAATACCATTAAACTTAGGCATTTGTGGTGCGGTTTTAATGCTGGACATACGCCTATCAAACACCTACAAAAAGGACATAGGGCTTTTGGGAAGCGTTAAAAACGCTTCCCAAATGCCTGTCAAATGCTATAGGGGCAGGTAAAAAAAAATGTGCATTTATTATATTTGTCCAAAGAAGCCTGAAAAGCATTGTATCAGCGATCAGTAGATCGCTGATGCCATGCAGG